ACATTGTATAAGGATACTTGTGTTCTGTTGTACGGTCTGGTAGTTGGTCAAAATTTTGTAAACAACAAACATTTCTTTCTTGTTTATGTGCCATTTCTTTTGGGAGGTATTCCATAGTCCTGAGATGAATTCGTCTTCTAAATCTGCTCCCCAACCCGTATTTGAAGCGTCGGTGACTAGATGGATTTCCGATTCTTTCAGAATTATTTTTCATCTTTTTTCAAAGTTTCCCAACCACCATTGCAACTCTTGAATATTTTCTGGCTTTAGTTCGAAGTGTAGGTTGGGCATAGATTCTGGTAACCGGTTCACGGATCATTGAATCTTTCGACAGTGTAGTCGAGCTAGCGGTATCACGAACAAAGCGAATTCCATTTTGCCCAAAATCGACTTTACTTGTCGCCAACTTCATTTTTCGCTTTTTATAATTTTTAGGATGGATTTCTCTAGTGATTGTATTTTTTGTACAGGTAGGCTTTTTAGATTCAATTTTGTATTCCAGTTTATTCCAAGGAACGTTATTTTTGTTGTTGGGTTTAGTACTGACTTTTCCCAGTTTATTCTGAAGTCCAGATTTGTAAGTGTCTTTATGACCACTGACACCTCGTTTCTCAGATGCCTTGGGTTTTGATTTACTATCAAAAAATCGTCGAGGTATACGACTAATGGAATGTTCTGTTTTCTGAGTAACATGGTAACCCAGTTTATTATCTTTGCATATATTTGAGGCGCGGAACTCAGGCCAAAAGGAAGCGCCGTTAGTGCGTAGGTTGAATTGCGGTAGTGTAGTGCTAGGTAACGCCAGTGTCTTTTTGCTATTGGTACATGAAGATAGGCCTGTGATAGGGCTATTTTCGCCATGTAGTCTCCTTTTTGTAGGAAGTATTGTAGTTTTCGATGGTTTACCAATGGAAACTTTTGTAACTTTACAAATTCGTTCAGTCTGTTCAAGTTGAAGACTGGTCTCCATTGTCCGTCTGACTTTGGTGTTAAGAACATTTTTGAGAGGAAGCCAGCCCTGCAGCCTAAATTTATTATGGTCTTTTCTAAAATCATTTTTCATCATTTGTCAGACTTTGAACCCAGTCGGATTAGACTCCCACGCCCGGTCGGGCCAGACTCCGTGCCCGGTCAAGCCATATTCCAGGCCTGGTCGAGCCAGATTTTCTGCCCGATCGTATCAAAGTTCAGGGCCGGTCGGCCCAGCTTTAGTGTCAGGTCGGGCCACTCACATTAATTTACACGTGATTTGAGACTATAACGTCTGGGCTTTAATCCGAGATCGGAGTCTAATTCGAGATTATATTTCTATAAATCTGGTTACAAACCGAGATAGATAGTAAGAACTAAAATACTTCCCGCTTACGTAATTTATACGTGATTTGGAACTAACCGTCTGGGTTTGAGTCCGAGATCGGAGTCTAATACGAAATTATGTTAAGTTAACCTATAAATCTGGTAAAAAAAAGAGATAAATAAGAACCACAATATTCTCGTGCTAAAGAGTAATTAATCTTTACATCTGTGAAAATTAACATTTATATTAATTACTCACCTTAAATATTATTCCTTTTAACTTTCTTCGAACGTCACTCAACGTTTTCGAGAACTTTTAATGATATTCACTTTACTTTGTACACACACCGATCGCTTGCGTAAACAAAAGACCCGACTTTAGCCGTCAGGCACAGCGTGTGAAAGAGACAGCGATAGGTAGGTCGTTTAGGGCGGGAACAGGACAGATAATGGGTACACGCACTGATGCGTGGATATAAATGGAAGAGGTCAGGCCATAGGCACAGAGCCGAAATAGGTATTTTGTCATTTGTAACTTGACCGGCGCGGCGGCGGATTGCTGCTCTGGTTTTATTGTATGAATAATAGCTTGCCGTGGAGTTTGATACAAAGTAGCGTGGTTTTGTGTATTAAATGTCTGCGCATGTAAACTATTAGTGGGAACGATGAAATAAATGCTCCGATGGTGAAGTGAACTTCAAGATAATGTGTTTGCTTAGGCGCCTCGAGATATTGTCGTCATTGACTATCTGCTGGTCAAGCTACCGTCAAAATCTCTCAAAAATTTTGCGATGTGACGCATCAACAATTTGTGAAGAAGTTTTGAAACGAAAAATCTGTAAAAACAAAACGAAGATTCCGAATGAAATGAAGATTTGGCTTGAAAGTCAAGCATCCAAGCCAAAATCTTTAAAAAAATATAGAAATACCTTTTGACAGCTGTCATATTTATTGCACTAGGCATTCAAACTGAAAAATCGTTACCTACAATATTCGATTCTTATCGAAAAATTGATATTGATTCTTTATAGTTGGTAATTATTTATAGTTTTTTCTAGATTAACTAATACCAAAATATAATTAGAAACAGATAACTCAAAACACATCATTTATCAATTTCTTATATTTATAGCGTACTGCTAATTTCTAGAAATAAGATATATAAAAAAATCACTACACTCACTTGAGCTCTCCTCGTCGTCGTTGTTGTTTACATTAACTATTATTTATTATTTTTTTATTATTATTATTATTTTAAAAAACGTTACCCCCACACTAGGATTTTCTCCTGTGTCGTGGAGGCAGTTTACAAACATAAATTGCACAAGGACAAACATCCAGACCCGGAACAGTTATTTGTAGGCCATACAAATACTTGTTCCGTGCGGGGTTCAAACCCGCGGCCCCCAGCGCAACAACTGATTGCTAAGCCACTGCGCCACGGAGCCGTCAATTTTCTATAATCCATTAAAAATTAATTTCTCTTTCATGGTCGCCCATGACAACTTTTTTTTTGCTTTCTACATCACTTTGGCTCAGTCACCACTTGTGTAGTGGTTTAATTTTCTACAGATTCTCCTTTTTTATAGGATAAGGGTGATAAACGAGCACACAGTCCACCTGATGCTAAGTGGTTGCTGCGACCCATAGACTTCTACATCTATCCTCTATTACAAATCAAAATGCAGATTCGCTGTCACCCGTGAGGACTAGGATGAAATGCTTCATTTCCAGTAAAAAGGGTCTCCAGTTCTCTACACTCACCATATGAAACGCAGCGTTAAGCTGTTATTTTACGCTGGTATTCTGCGAGAGCGTGGTCCTTCCCTGGTCAAGCCGACCCATTCGTGCTATAACTATACTACTATTATAGCTGCAGCATGGCCCTACCACTACCACGTATGGGTCTCCTTCAGGGGTTACACGGCAAATTATGACGCGCCCACCTTTCACCATGGGCACGTGTTATCTGTCCATGTCTGTGGCACATTATGGTTGTCGTTCAGACATGTTTAATCAAAATATAATATTGTCCCATTCGTATTTTTAATTTACCGTAAAAATGTTATTTCTTGCATTCATGTCTCTAAATAATTATTTTACGTTTGTAATTTTTTTCTATCGGAAGTCAATTCCTTTTGAAATGGTTCAAATGACTTTATTGTACAAGCCGGTATCTTCTTAACGTATTCACCGAAATTTAAAAAAAATAGACTTGTTTAATTCATGATTCATATAATTCATGCCACTCAAATAAATAAAAATTTAAATAAACAAATAACACTTACATTAAAATTGTAAAGGTTCTAATATTTTTACTGATCATTCGCATTAGCATGAATTTGAGTCATCTAAATACTACAGTAAGGTACATAACGACATATCATTGAAACAACGTCAAGCAAAAAAGTTGATTCTGCAATTTTTTCTTATAGTATTTATCATCGATGTTTTTTTTCGATCCAACGCATCGCACAGTGGCATTGATGTTATGTCGATATATGAAATAATACATCAATGATTTCCATACACCGATTGTTTTTGAAAAACATTAACACATCAGAGCATGTTTTAAAATGGATTTCTACAGAATAATTTTGGGAATCAAGATGAGCAACTTATTAAACATAATGAAAAATATAGATGCACTCGTTATTTGTTTTCCGTTATTAGATGAGTGAGTGAATTGAAGTAACTTGAAGTAAATAATGAGGGATCGGCCATTTGCATTTCTTGTTTTTATTTACAGTTTGACGCTTAGCTAGCATGGGAGCCACTCAGCCATTGGCGTGGGAGCACGACTGTCACTTGTTTGACCGTTGAAATTTTAGCCGTTATTAGACTAAAGTCTATTCTAAATTCCATTAACGGAGTAACTAAATTCAAGACAAAAATAATTCAACAGACATTCAATGTCGGTTTCCATTATAACTCGTTACGAAGTATTTGTAGCAGTTTGATACCATGGCTTTCGCTTAAGCGCCACTTTGTGAGTAGTCATTGAACCGAAAAGCCAAAGTCCGCATCTCCATCTATGGTAAACAAATTGAATCCTCCTCGTTAATTATAAAAAATACGGCGAAAATTCGGTGGCTCCGTGGCGCAGTGACTTAGCAATATCTTGCATTGCTGAGGGTCACGGGTATGAATCCCGCACGAAACAAGTATTTATATGGCCTACAAATAATATTTCCGGGTCTGGATGTTTATCCTTGTGCAATTTATGTTTGTAAACTGCCGTCACGGTACAGGAGAAAATCCTAGTGTGGGGGTTACGTTTAAAAAAATCCTCCTAGGATAAAATTCGCCAATTATAGAAAATGAATTTTATCCTTCGTTTTCCGTAAATGGCGATTCGGACTTTGTCTTTTTGGTTCGATGAATATTCCCAAAGTGGCGCTTATGCGAAGCGAAAACAATGGTATCCTAGCAGGTTTGTCTCTTCGATGAATCGAATAATAAATATGTTTACTCGATGTTGACGAATTTATAAAACATCGGATTGATTTGATGTATCGATACTTTACATCGAGTGTCTTTAATTTTAATACATCGATGTATAATATAATGTATATAGTCCATCAGTAATGTAATTTTGATATTCAATCCAAGTGTTCATGAATAAATTATAGGATTATAGGATTGTTTACAGATTTTAATACCGTAATCAAAAGTGAAATAGTTCATACTAAACTGAAATCAGTATGCCTCGATACCATACGGTAGAAATTAATAAGACAGAATGGATTGTACCAGAGCGGTATCAGATGCTTACACCTGTAGGTTCGGGCGCCTACGGTCAAGTGTGGTATGTATTAATTCAGATAAAATATGAAAAAGCAACATTCTAGTTATCCTTTTAATACAATTTTTGAGTATTGTATAAATGATTTGGTATTTTCAAAATAAAGGTTATTCGATCATTTATTTGCTGTGTGGGTGGAACTGGTTTAGTAATTTGTCTATCATTACTTTACTATCTAAAATATTTTACGTCACTTTAATATTCTGTATTCAATCTATCCTTAATCATTCCATGCTGTTTAAGCTTAATATTAAATGGTGATAAGTTTTATATATTTGGATCGATTTAAACCTTTATTGATATTAGGTGTAAAGTGCACTATTATGTGCAGCTGAATGAAATGTAAAATTCCTGTTGGCACCTAAATATTTTCTCCTGACTTTTGACCTTTGTCTACAGTTCTGCTATAGATACCCTTCATAATATGAAAGTGGCTATCAAGAAGTTGGCAAGGCCCTTTCAGTCTGCAGTTCATGCCAAGAGATCTTACCGTGAACTCCGTTTGTTAAAACACATGAATCATGAAAATGTCATAGGTTGGTGTTAACATTTTTACTGTATTCAAATTTAAGGAAATTAAATACTGCATTTTAAATATAAAGGAGCAATAAAATTTAAAAAAGACAAAGTAAATTATATAAAAGTATTTTATTTTCAAACACAATTAAATCTTTTCAGATGATTTAAAGATATCTAAAGTCAGAAAAATTAAAAATATATTTTGGGTTTAGGTTTACTGGACGTTTTTAGTCCTGAGAAGAATCTTGAAGAATTTCAGCAAGTGTATCTGGTGACACATCTCATGGGTGCAGATTTGAATAATATAGTGCGTACACAAAAGCTGTCAGATGATCATGTCCAGTTTCTGGTGTATCAGATCTTACGTGGCTTAAAATATATTCACTCTGCAGGCATAATACATAGGGTATGTAATTAATATTCTAACTATTATTTAATTTACTGTTGGATATGTGTAATCTAATAAAAGAGTCGGTGACATTGATTCTGTCTTAATACAAAGAACATTGTGCTGTCCCTCTGACAATTTTGTCAATTAATTTAAAACATGAAGTTAGCTATAATATATGTATACTTTTTAAATATTATCTAGTAACTACACAAAAAGAAGATTATATTGCAAAATAATAAAAAGAAAAATAATGTATACAATGTAAAATATAAAAGTGCCTTGATTTAATTGCTCCCAAGTATATCATAGAATTATCAATTATGGCTGAATAAGGTAAGAATTTATTATTTTTTAATATTATTATCTGGTAATAGGTGAGCAGCTTATAGCTGATATGCCTACATCTGTGTTGGTGTTTTATATTAGCCCAAGTTCACACTAAGAATACACTAAATTGGATTGTCTTTACACCATTTGTCCAGTTTGTTTTTAAAACTAATCATAGAGGGAGCATCTACCACGTCTTGAGGCAACTTGTTCCATATATTTATGAATCTGTTGTTTAGTGTGTGATGTCCCACATTAGTGTATGAGCGGGTGTGGGCCATTCTCATATAGTTAGGATGTCTAGGTTGGTGGATACTGCTGATGTTAAAAATATGTGGCAGCGCTTTGCAATTATATTTGTGTCAATATATTGTAGGTCTCAATAAGGTCTCCTCTGGTACAGCGAGATTTCAGCGTTGTTAGATTCAATATTTTTAACCTCTCTTCGTATGGCTTTTTGCAAGGGCATAATGGAATTTTTGTGGCATTTCTTTATACACTCTCCAGCAAATCTACATCCTTAAGAAAATAGGGGTTCCAAATTTGAAATCCATAATCTATCAGCGGTTGAACATATGTTTTATAAACCTTGAGCAATGTATCTGGAGTCAGATGCTGAAACGATCGTCTGATTGCATACAAAATGCTGTTTGCCTTTTTGACAATACTATGGATATGGTCAGCCCACTTGAGGTCAGATGATATTAAGACACGTAAATCCTTGTGTGAGTTAACTGACTGTACTGTTGAATTTCTTTCTCTGGGATTGTTTCGACCTAGATGCAAAACTGTGCACTTAGAAGGATTAAGTCTTATAACCCAATTTTTTGTCCATTCCTGTATACGCTCTAAGTCTTCTCTTAAGGTTCCCTGGTTCAATAGAGAATTTGCGAAGTATTTCACATCATCAGCAAAGAAACAGGCTTCTGAGTGTATTATAGAACACAGATCAGCAACAAAAAATGCCAAAGAGGGTAGGCGCGAGTACAGATCCTTGTGGCACTCCACTGAAGACGTCTTTTGGTTGCGAATATACAATTCCAACTCTTACTTGAAAGGTTCTTTCACTCAGATAATTTTTGATCCATTTCAGAAGATTTCTGACGTCTGTGTGGAACCTTGTCAAAGGCCTGTTCAAAGTCCAGGCAGAATATATCCAAAGGATTATGTTTATCAAATTCCTCAGTCCGTCTGTGGTAGCAGGAAAGAAGGTTAGTTGTAGTCGAGTTGTAGTCGAGCGCCGTTCCACAAAGCCATTGTGGCACACCACTAAAGACGTCTTTAGGTTGCGAATATACATTTCCTACTCTTACTTGAAAGGTTCTTCCACTCAGATAATTTTTGATACATTTCAGTAGATTTCTGACGTCTGTGTGGTACCTTGTCAAAGGCCCGTTCAAAGTCCAGGTAGAATATATCCAAAGGATTATGTTTTTCAAATTCCTCAGTCCATCTGTGGTGGCAGGAAAGAAGGTTAGTTGTAGTCGAGCGCCGTTCCACAAAGCCATGCTGGTTATCCGGAATAATTTTCTCATCTACTAGGAACTTTTTTACTTTTGTACATATAATCTTCTCCATACATTTGCAAACAATACTAGTTAAGCTTATTGGCCTGTAGTTAGCTGGATCTAATTTATCACCCTTTTTAAAAACAGGTGTTACTATAGCATGTCTCCAGTCTTTTGGTACCTCACCTGAAGCATATGATTCATTCATAATATTGACCAAGAAAGATGTGATGGTTTCAGCGCATGATTAGAGAAATACTCCAGGGACATTATCAGGCCCAGTAGCAGAGTTTACATTTAGGGACTTGAGAACCATAAGCACATTCTGTGATGTGAAATGGATGTCGTCTATGGAGTTGAACTCTTGGTATAGGTATGGAGATATTATTAAGGTCCAGTAAGGTTCCAATGAGTATGCTTTCTCAAATTCACAAGCAAATGCTTCGGCAATTTTAGACCCTTCAACCACAAGATTGCAAAGTTCCAAGTAACCAGCAAAAACCAACCGCGGGTGGCCTGTCAGGCGATGATTAGTACTCTAGGGTTAATTTGCAGTTTATCACTTTAATGCAGTTACTTGTCTGCCGTTTACTGGTATAATATATTGTTACATACACTGTGCTCAAATAAGTAGCTCTGGGCTCAATAAAATGGGCACATACTGAAGAGTCAAGTTCTAATATATTAAAACAATAAAAACCAAATCAAAACATTAGTTTTGTAGGCTTTAAGACAGAATGTTGATTATTTTATTTAAAAAAAAGCTATGGTATTACACCTTGTGTTTTAGTATAATATACATTTGGATATAATAATTTGTATAAAATATTTTAATGCACTTCTACATGTAAACAGAAGAATTTTCTTTTATAACTTTCCATATGGAGTAGGAGTGAATTTTCAAGTTTAGTTTAAGATGTGGTTAGTGGTATCATGGAAATATTTTTGTAGGATCTCAAGCCTTCCAATATAGCTGTAAATGAAGACTGTGAATTAAAAATCTTAGATTTCGGCTTAGCAAGACCTACTGAGACAGAAATGACTGGCTATGTAGCTACAAGGTAAGCCAATTTATTTTTAATTAAAAAGCTTTAATTTCAGAGTTAAAATTAAAAAATACTATATTTCATTCATCCAACCATTACAGCCTATAAAAGTTTACTGCTGAACATAGGCCACCCCCCATAGACTGCCTCATTTCACAGGATTTTGCCATAGTTGCCACGCTTAGCAAGTTAGTTGCCAACCACAGTTTTTTTTCTTATTTAGAGTTTCTATCAGGATGACGCTGCTTACCATCTCCTGTTTCAGTTTCCTTCTATAGCCTTTTACAAAACCCACAACACAATAGAGGGCAGTGGATATTCTTACACTCCCACTTCCTAGTCTATAGATTTATATCATTTTACAGTTAAAGTAAAAGATAGGTATCATAAAACTTATATATGTCCTTCTGCTGGCCATAAACCTTTTACAAAACCCACAGCACAATAGGGGGCAGTGGATTTTCTTACACTGCCACTTCCTAGTCTATAGATTTATATCATTTTATAGTTAAAGTAAAAGATAGGTATCATAAAACTTTTATATGTCCTTCTGCTGGCCATAAACCTTTTACAAAACCCACAGCACAATAGGGGACAGTGGATTTTCTTACACTGCCACTTCCTAGTCTATAGATTTATATCATTTTATAGTTAAAGTAAAAGATAGGTATCATAAAACTTATATATGTCCTTCTGCTGGCCATAAACCTTTTACAAAACCCACAGCACAATAGGGGGCAGTGGATTTTCTTACACTGCCACTTCCTAGTCTATAGATTTATATCATTTTACAGTTAAAGTAAAAGAGAGGTATTATAAAACTTATATATGTCCTTCTGCTGGCCATAAACCTTTTACAAAACCCACAGCACAATAGGGGGCAGTGGATATTCTTACACTGCCACTTCCTAATCTATAGATTTATATCATTTTACAGTTAAAGTAAAAGAGAGGTATCATAAAACTTATATATGTCCTTCTGCTGGCCATAAACCTTTTTTTCCTAAGATGATTAAATACGAGGGTGGATTGAAAAGTACTCGGCCTAACACAGATCCATTCAATTCTAAAAATCAAATCTACCCACATTATTTAGTTCAGTTCAGACTAGTTCATTGTGTGAAGTTCGAAACGTGTGCGATAATTAGTTGTGATTTTATAAATTTATTAACAAAGTAATCGGACATAATTTCCGCGAATGGAGCAAATCGAGCAGCGTGCCGTCATTAAGTACCTCCATAAGAAGGGGCTATCATCAAAAGCCATCCATGATGACATGGTCAGTACATTAGGCGATTGTGCTGTCATTCATCCGTCAAAAAATGGATAGCAGAATTTAAGCGTGGTAGAGAGAGTGTGAAAGATGAACCCCGCTCTGGAAGGCCTTCGACGTCAACTACTGACGAAAATATTAAAAAAGTACTTGATTTAATAATGGGAGACCGCAGATTAAAAATTAGAGAAATAGCCGAGATTATAGGCATCTCTTATGAACGAACTCAAAACATCATTGTCAATGAGTTGGGTTTCCACAAGGTGTCTGCGAGGTGGGTTCCGCGACTGCTTTCAGTTGAACAAAAAAGGACGCGATTGACTATTTCACGCGACTGTTTGGAGATATTTGAAGCCGATGCAGATGATTTTTTGAATCGTTTTGTTACTATGGACAAAACATGGGTTCATTACTGTACAGCGGAAACAAAACAACAATCAAAACAGTGGAGAAGACCTGGTTCACCACCCCCTAAAAAGGCTAAGTCGATTTTGTCGGCAAATAAGGTGATGGCTTCAGTATTCTGGGACTCGAAAGGTGTGATTATGATTGATTATCTTGAAAGGGGTCAGAATATAAACTCTGATTACTACTGCACCTTACTACGTCGTTTACGAGAGGAAATAAAAGAAAAACGTCGAGGAATGCTCAGAAGAAAAGTCCTGTTTCATCAAGATAACGCCCGTGTTCACACGTCAGTACAGTCAATGGCTGAAATTCACAACTGTGGCTTTGAACTGTTACCGCATCCGCCGTATTCACCTGATCTGGCACCATCAGACTTCTTTCTGTTCCCTAACCTAAAAAAGCACTTGGGAGGTCAAAGATTTTCGACAAACGACGAGGTCAAAGCAGCTGTAGACGCATATTTTGACTCTAAGGAAGAATCATTTTTTTTCAACGGTCTAAATGCTTGGAAGGGGAGGTGGCAAAAGTGTATTGAACTTGATGGTGATTATGTAGAAAAATAAATATATAACTGATTTAGTATGTGTTTATTTTCTTGGTTAGGCCGAGTACTTTTCAATCCACCCTCGTATTATTTTTCCAGTATTTACATTTATATACAAAATAGACACAAGCACAGCCATACTGCTGTTACATTATGTTTGCCACACAAATGTGTCAACTTAAATTGAGAAAGCACACTCTCTTACAGAATGCCAGCATTAAAAACAATGTTAATGTTCTTCAGTAATATCAGTAATGTCAATAACAGTCTACTAACTAGTCATCTGCGCAGGACAGAATTTTAGTGCCTAAGTGTATGGTGCAAGCACTGGTCCCCTCACTCTTATAGTTTGAAGGGATGGTAATCCAACACACGTGTTTTCCGAGGCAAGTGGCTGAAACACCACCAACTTCCTGACCCTGAGCTGCTGCTGAGAATTTCTTGATAGAAAAAACCCAATTACTAATTTTGCCCCGACCCGGGGTTCGAACCCGGGACCTAGAGGGCGTGCACGACCACTAGACCAACGAGGCAGTCAATTTGTATAATATAGCAGCCTGTAGAGACCCTTTTAACTGGCAACAAGGCACTCTATCTTAGTCCTCTGAGGTGACAATGCATCTAAATGTTGATTGTTAACTGAGTATTATGTGTTCATATTATGTGACCCTTACGCTAAAAAAATTTCACTTCAAGCACTTTTAAATTTTTTGTAATCCTTTGAAATGTTCATAATTTATGATGTTTTACTTAACACAAATCATAATTTGTCATATGTTAGATGGTACAGAGCTCCTGAAATAATGCTCAATTGGATGCATTATAACCAGACAGTTGATATATGGTCAGTTGGTTGCATCATGGCTGAACTGCTTACTAGCAGAACTTTATTCCCTGGTTCAGACCGTATCCTTTTTATTTCAAAACAGAGTGAAAATTGTTTTAATTCAAGAATTATTTTGTTGTAATTTAACAGCCTTTGGGTAAAACTAGTTTGTAGAGCAATGATTATAATGATAATGACTACAACAATATAACTATATTGTGCTGCTATGATATTTAATGTATTATATATAATAGTACCTATTTGCTTTAATTTTCTTTTAAACTTAGTAGATACTGAAGCTTGAGTGTCTTCAAATTTTTTGTATAAGATTCATATTTGGTTTGCGCAAATATGATCATGTTTCTTATTTTCGTAATAAGCTCCAGTGGCTTCCTATTAGTCTTCGCCGGAATGCTCATATTCTGTCACTTCTTTACCATGTTCTCTTTAATCCTTTTTATCCTTCTTATCGCTTTGAATTCCTTCACTATTCCCATTCGAAAGTTTGAAAGTTTTGAAGACACTCAAGTCTTCAAATTTTTTGTATAAGATTCATATTTGGTTTGCGCAAATATGATCATGTTTCTTATTTTCGTAATAAGCTCCAGTGGCTTCCTATTAGTCTTCGCCGGAATGCTCATATTCTGTCACTTCTTTACCATGTTCTCTTTATTCCTTTTTATCCTTCTTATCGCTTTGAATTCCTTCACTATTCCCATTCGAAAGTTTGGAGATCATCAGAAAATTTTACATTATAAATGCCTGCCCATAATACCAAATTTTTGGACAGGTCGTTTACTATCCAAGCAGTCGGTCTATGGAATGCCGTACCTCTGTCAGTGAGACGCGCCCAATCTTTATCTGTTTTTCAGAAGCTTGTACACAATCACTATCTTAACCTATGACTTTGTGCCATCTATATATTATGTATACATTCGTATTTTTATGTCTTTATTTGTTATTTATTTCTATATATTATATGGAAATCTTTATAATTCTGCATCACCAAACCACACAATTTTCTGCTTTTTGTAATCCTGTCCATCCAAAGGTTGTCTCGAAGAAATCGCTTTTAGCGATAAGACCATTGTGTCACTATTTTTTTTCTTTTGTTTATGTATTGATTTGGTGTACAATAAAGAAGTATCTATCTATCTAGGTACTAAGATTTAAAAGATGTTTATAGCTCAGCTTATATTTAAATGTCACCTCCTTTGTCTGTAAACCTTAATAAATGAGACAGATATTCATCAATTGAACTTAATCATGGAGATACTTGGAACACCGAGTCAGGAATTTATGCAGAAAATTTCCTCAGAGTCAGTAAGTAAAATGATGTTAATTAGGAATTAATAATTCTGTCCCTTTTCTTTATTGCGAGTTTTTGCATTACTTTTTATGTACGTAAAATTGTCTGCAAAATTGTGTTTTGTAATATGTACATGCATCGTAATGTAAACATAACAGCTTGGTATTAACATGTGGTGTGTTGCATCAATACTGGCTTATGTAAGTTTGGTGCTTGTTGTAACCTTAACATCTGCGCATTCAGATATTGATCATCTCACAAGGATATTATTTTTATGCGGCAAACCTGATCAAGAAACTATTGACAAAATAACAAGCGAGGAGGTAAGGTTAATAAATAACATGAATAGCCTACTAAGCTTTTCATATAAGAATTTATAATTATTCCAAGGAATAAATAAAGTATAGTAAAGTGGCAGCCTATATAAGGTCCCACAGCTGGGCACAACCCTCCTCTCTTTTTTGAGAGAGTTTTAAGGTCTGAATTCCTCCTACGCTGACGTCGGATGCGTACGGTCGGTCGCGTACGCATACGTAGCAAACTACGCGCCGCTGTCGACAGCGTCGTAGTGTGGGGCTATATAGAACACAATGTACATTAGTACGCGCGACCGAAGTACGCGACCGACGTCAGCGTAGGAAACATTCAAGTCTTAGGCAAGGAAATGTCCGTTGCGTTGTGCCACATTGCGTGTTGGCGGATTTCATACCTTTGAAAATTTCCTTTAATTTTTCTGACAGCCAGGTTTCTTTGCAATGTTTTCCTTTGCCGACGAAAATGTGGAAAATGATCACTAAAAATTGCAATTAACAATTTCATTGGTGCTTGCGGATATCGTGCCTCTGAACTACCACAAGTCTAAGGAATTCTTTTTTCCAAGGAAAAGATATAATCATGAATAAGTTTAAATAATAAATGTGTTTTAGTGCAAAGCAGACAGCAAAGTTCCTACTAATAATATTAAAATCACCTACTAACTGATTGAATGATTTATGCAAACTGATATGATAAATGTATATAAGTAATTCTTTTTGAAAAATTATAACCCCACTTGTGTGCCTAAGACAAGGATGTCACCCTCTGTATATTAAAAAATATATATAAATTTAACCAATCGTAATTGGCTACACTTATTTGTAGCCGGAGAAACCAAAGTGTACCGTGTAGTTAGGTAACCTGTAACACCAGCTATGATCAAAAGGATTGACAGATCGAGCCCATTTTGGTTGGTAGAAATTAAAGAAAAAGCGATGCCAATTTACAATTTTTTTTATCATTCCCGCGGGCTTTGTAACATGTGAACGGCAACGATGATATTGCGATATCGCTTGCATTTAGTGGTCTTATGCAAGGCTTAATGATTCGCCGTATTACTCGATAACACTAATTACCATTTATTTGATTGAAATAGCATTTTATTAAGTTGTTAATACTATTAGGTCTTTCGTTTTATGGTGATACTGACAGACTATTTTGTTATGCTTAGTGTATAAATATTTTATTGAATAATATATTCTGTACTTTGGTCCAATACCTTTTGTAATTTTTCTGGCCAAAGTATGATTCTACGATCATAAAACTTCTGATATCTGCTACCAAAAACTTATCTAAGTAATTTTTGACGTCCTCATTTAAAGAAACATTGATTCAGTGAATTGGGAACATCATCTATGATGATTCGCGTCAAGAATGGATCACTTTCTTGACGTTTGATAAGTCAAAGAGGTGAATGTATATTTTTTTCTGTAGGAACATGTCGATAACCGAAATTAAACCAAGGAGTTTCACTTGATCATGAACGATTGAATCTCTTAGCGATCTTTCGATTTGTTGGCGGATTACATAAATTAATGCTTTTTCTTTCTCTTCATCATCTTCAACTGGCAAAAATAACGTGGTGCATCTTTAACAACAAAATTGCCGAAATGAAATGTTGAAATCAGATTTGGCACTGGCATTCTGTCACGTCTGCTCTACGTACATTGAATAATCGCTATCGTTCATCACGTTAATTATGACGTCTAAATAAGTTTAAATGGACAGCGATAAGAAAATTAAAAATAAATAAACTGGGAATTAATTTTCAGTTCACAATGGTGGTTATTGTGGTGTATTTACAATTCACTTTGGTGGCTACTGAGCGCAAACTATCGACATGCGCATTAGTCGTACACATCATCATCATCATCATTACAGCCTTTCACAAGTCCACTGCTGAACATAGGCCTCCCCCAAGGAATGCCACAAAGCACGGTCCTGGGCTACCTGCATCCATCGACATCCATGCAGGAAGCATGTCTTATCAGGTCGTCACTCCATCTAGTGGGGGATCGCCCTACACTTCGCCTACCGGTACGACGTTGCCACTCGAGAACCTTTCTTCCCCATCCGTTGTCGATTCTTCGAGCTATATGGCCCGCCCACTGCCACTTCAGCTTACTAATCCGTTGGGCTATGTCGGTTACTCTGGTTCTACTGCGGATATCCTCATTTCTAAGTTTATCACGCAGAGAAACCCCGAGCATAGCCCTCTCCATAGCTCGCTAAGCGACCTTGAGCTTCCTCATACGGCCAGCAGTGAAGGACCACGTCTCAGATCCGTAAGTCATCACTGGCAACACGCACTGGTTGTACAATTTCGTTTTCAAGTTTTGAGGTATGTCTAACGAGAAGATGTGTCGTAGTTTCCCGATCGCTGCCCAGCTGAGTTGAATCCGTCGATTGACCTCTCGGTCGAAGTTGGACTTGCCTAGTCGGACTATTTGTCCCAGTTAAACATACTCCTCAACAACTTCGAGCTTTAGTGCTCCCAACAACTACCGGCATAGGTGTGACATGAACGTTAAACATGATTTTTGTTTTGTCCATGTTCATCTTAAGACCTATCCCTTGGGAGACACTATTGAGGTCATTGAGCATGCTTAGGTCCTCCAGCGATTTTGCCATAAGGACTATATCGTCGGCAAATCGAAGGCGAGTGATGTACTTGCCATTGATCTTAATACAGCATCCTTTCCAGTCCAGTAGCTTGAAAACGTCTTCCAATGCAGCGGTAAAGAGTTTCGGGGATATAACGTCACCCTGCCTTACACCTCTCTGCAGTTGGCTAGGTTTCGTACTCTGATTCTGTACTCAGATAGCCATCGTAGCTCTACTGTACAAACTTCAGCACTTCGATACACCGACAGTCAACTTGGCACCCCTGAAGGGACTGCAGCACCGCCCAAATTTCGACGGAATCAAAGGCTTTCTCATAGTCCACATACGCAAGGCAAAGTGGCAGATTATACTCCTCTGTCTTCTGTACAATCTGCCGCAGGGTATATATGTGGCCTATGGTACTAAAGCCTTTTCGGAAACCGGCTTGTTCTGGAGGCTGGAAGTCGTCAAGTCTGCATGCGAGACTATTCGTAATGTCTCTCGAAAACAGCACGTAGACGAGGCTCAGAAGGGAAATCGGTCTGTAGTTCTTCAAGAGAGCTTTGTCGCCTTTCTTGAAGAACAAAACCACCGCACTTTTGCTCCACGCCTCCGGAGTAGTGTCACCATGGAGGACGGAATTAAAGAGCTTCTGAAGGAATTCAAGTACCGATTTTCCACCCGCTTTCAAATGCTCCGCTGTAATTCCATCCTCGCCTGGGGACTTGCCGTTTTTAAGGTGTTGGAGAGCCATTCTAATCTCGCTCAGACTGACGTCCGGGATATCTTCGGAATAGTGTCGGATAAGACTCACTCTTGGATCGTTACTCACACTTGCGTGTGGCTGCCACACTCGGTCTTCAGCCTTGACAGTTGGCTCTTTCTGGCAGACAGATCTCTGGCAAAGACTTTGGAGCCTTGGTTTCGCTCGATCGCTTCTTCAATACAAGCTGTATTGAAGTTGCGTAAGTCCCGCCGCATGCATTTGGAGATCTGTCTGTTCAGTTGCCTGTATGCTGTCAAATCTGTTGAAGAATGTAGCTTCATCTCCCGTCTAACAGCCATGAGATTTAGCTCCGTCCGCATGGACAATTTCCACGAGCTTGTAACTCGAGCTGAAAGGTTTCGGGACTTTGGAACAGAGCACGAGGGGGACGGAGCGTTGACTTCATTAGACGAGACCTCTCCAACTTAACGTTTAGGTTCAGTGTACCTCTAACCATTCGGTGATCGCTACCAGTTTTCACCCTCGCGATCACGGAGATATCACTGAACAGTTGTCGTCTGGTCGTCATACACAATCCATAGTCATTAAATGATTTTTATGGCTGCGACTGCCACAACCTATGGGCATCAATCTAATGTAATTAAATGTCGATTATTATAACATACTTTCTAATTTTTTATTTTATTTATTTACACATTTCAGTTACAATTACAATATGATTGAAATAAATATTATGGAGGAAATGAAACGAAAAAAATAAAGCTAACGCCGTTTTCTAACTGCGTTTCAGCTACATACCGGTCAAGGCCAGTCTAATATACGTTTTCTTTTATTTTTTCTTAGTTTACCTTGGAAGAAATCAGTTTACAATTAGTGTTTTTTTATGGAATTAATGGTGACAAACGAGTACACAGACCATCTCATGTTAAATGCATGTTTTGGCCCATAGACACATAGATCTATCTTCGATTAAAAATCAAAGCGCTAATAAACTGCAATTATTGAGGACCGTTACCTTCGCGTTCGCGTCACAAAACACAGAAGAATTATGCTGCTGTTTCACGCTGGCATACTGTGCGAGCGTGGTCCATCCCCTCTCGAGTTGTGCAGTACACTGCTATAGTGTAGGCATGTGTATCTCTTTACGGAAACGACTCACTGATACGAATCACTGAAGTGATACAAAAGATTGGTTCAGTAACAACGTTTCAAATCTATCATTTGGATCTGGAACAGTGAAACATTACTTTGCTCTTTGCTCATTTCGCGCGACGCGTCGCTTGCGAGGCGACTGAGCCACGAGCGGGAGCGACATACTGAGACAATGATTAACTTAACTATTGACTCACGAGTGGCGAGTGAGCGGGCGAAATAATTATAATCCACATAAGTCAGATAGAGATAACAAATAAGAAGTGTATCACTCGACTCGTACGAATTTTCGCTGACTTTATTCATGCACGTAAAAATTACCACTAAGGCGCTTATGTGTCAAATACTATACTGTCGTTTTTTGTATGTAATGTTTGCATTAACAAGTTGTCATTTTACGTCGACGTGGCACTTGTCAAATTGTTTATATTCATTAGCGCCTGTTTACGAAAACATACTGAGTTATATTTAGGATTTCTTTGCGTAGTGATTATTGTGACTTTACTTTCTTCCTTTTCATCATAAAGTTTAGAGTTATGATACTTTACGAGTAAATTCTGTGTACATAGACATTGCTGTTTTGTGTAAATGGATATTTATGTAAATAATGAATTGACATAGTGGCATTTTTGTTAAAGTATGAAGGAGAATCGATTTTATATACAATCTTATTACGGTACACAGTAAATAACCTAAGCACTTATATTATTCAGCATTGTTGCCACATAACATTTCACGGATCAGTCAGTAATAAACGCCCGCGACGCAACTTAATGTATTCGGAACATTCTTTCTTTTATATCTTTTGAGTCGATGATACAAATGAGCCAAATGAAACATATCAGTGTTTCGGAACATTTCAGTGATTAAGATGCAAATGTTCCAATCGCAAAAACGATACACTTTGCCCACCTCCACTGCAGTGGTTTTACCACGTATAAACATATTGCGTAAATTTGTAATTTTAAATCATGCTCACGTTTTAATTTCAGGCTCGCAACTATATTCAGTCGCTGCCTACCCTGAAACGACGCGACTTCCGCGAGGTGTTCCGTGGTGCCAACCCACTCGCTATCAACCTTCTCGAGCTTATGTTGGAACTCGACGCTGATAAGTTCGTATTACCGCATTTTTTATGAATCTCGCAATTTGGATGTCGTTCAAGTTAGAAAGAATAGCACCTTCATTTATTACATCCATAAAGTTTCATTTAATTAAATGTATTCACGTAAACATAATAAATCACTTCATTCAAACACATTCTGTGATGAGGAAAGAATGATTAAGGAAATGAATGCTGCAGAAGTGGATAGTAGAGATAGCTGATCATAGTTGGCGATATATTAAACATGGACCAAATTTAGATTATCCTCAACCTGACGTGTATTTATACGTAGATATATAGATGTGAAGGAAAGAAAAAGACGTGTCAGGATGATGCCCTTTACGAGGCCTTTTTTACATGAACTTGCTTGATCATCTTTTTATTTTAAACGTTCGAGTTTAAAGTGGTGTTTTGATAATTGAACTAAATGCCTAAAGACCGCTGTTATAGATCTGCAGGATTTTTTTTTAAGTTTGTAAACAATGGAATTCAATCTACATATGTTCTGAAATAGATGAATACATTTCGAACATATAATATTATAAATTATGTTTTTAATATTTTATTTAAAAGCGATACCTTGTTATGAGGTGTGCCACGACAAATTCGATATTTCCCTTGTGTTATTAAGAAGAAATGCAGGTGGCAAGCCTTTTGTCCTCAAAATATCCATATCCATATTCCTATATATTTATAGAAATCTATTGCTGTCGCGCTGTGTCCGAATGACCGAGTCATACAACAGAGGGAACAGCTCGGACGGACTATATCTACCTATGAAAAGTTGACAAAATCATTATCTCGTATACCCGTTTCCTTCTCAAAAACTGGATCGATTTTTAAGAACAATATAAGGCGGATTGTGGTTTCGGCAGTTCAGTTCTTTCTTTTATTTTTATGTTTATGAAATTTGTTGCTGGATGTCTATACTCAACCAAATCTAAGAAATACCTTTTGACGTTTCACAGTAATCATTCCGCAATAACTTTGTACTCACACGATTTAAAATAACCATTTATGAACCTCCAACCAATTATGGTTCATAAATGGTTATTTTAAATCGTGTGAGTACGCTTTTACAAAGTTATTGTATGGTTCTTTATTACTAATTTAAAATGGAATCTTTGAAACAAAGCAAAATATTTAAAAAAAAATGCAGAATCAACAACTAACTTTTATGCTTGAAGTTGTTTCAATGCTATGTCGTTATGCACCTTACCGAAGTGTTTGGGTAATTCAAATTCATGCTCAAATCAGTAAAAATATTCAAATAATCGAAACTTTTCATTTTTTTTAATGTATTATTTTTATTTAAATTTTTTTTTTAGAGTTGCATAAATTACTTGAATCATGAATGAAACAAGTCTATTTTTTTATAATTTCTGTGAATTCCATTGTGGCGAAGTGTTGAGTAAGTTTAGAAGATGCCGGCTTGTACAATGGTAGTATGTATGTTGAAGGAGGATGTGATTGGTTGTCGTTAAAACGACTATTGCCTTACATGCAGATAATTTATTACAGATCACAAACTTATTTGTATTGTGTTTGTTTAATTACACAATTATTCGTACACAGATTAATTAGTTTATTAACAAAATAATCACTTTATTGTTAAGTATTTGACTATGTTTTACTTCACTTGAATACACAACGCCGTCAGCGCTAGAGAGTGACTGCCGCAGCAGTGCCAGGGTTGCCAACTTCATTTTTTAGGAGATAGTACCATAAACTGGAAATGATCGTATTTTGCTAAGAACTCAACAAAAAAGATAGTACTCATCAATATTTTAATAAAATAATGGTAAAAAAATACAAAAATAATATTATTATAACGTCAAAGCAAAATTTTACATGTAGAATATAACCATATAACAATTAAGAATCTGACACTAAACTTTACTATGACTTTTTTTATTTAAAAAAACTAATAGAATGACGTAAAACAAACACGAAGAAAGGCGGTTAAACTGCGCGAGTAATAGAGAGTTTAAAAAACTATTGGATTGGATGCATTCATAAAAAAATACAATGAAGAAGCTTAGAGCTCGTTCAATTTTGAAATTATTGATTTTTCATATCGATAAAATGACTTTAATCAATTATCAATTTTATTTTGTTACAAATATTATAAGATTTGAAAAGATCGTATATTTTGCGTACGATTTCGAATACATGATTGTACATCGTACTAGGGCCAAAAAGATCGTATGAATACGATTTAAATCGTACGGTTGTCAACACTGAGCAGTGCTGCCTGATCAAGAAAATCTCATTCAATGCTAGGATGACACAAAAAGCGCTAGATTTCATGAAAACAGCGCTAGATTTCGCGCTAAATTAACTTCATTTTTTATTGAATCATAAATTATAATAAAAAACACAAACAAAGCTCCACCAAATCGTTTTTCGTTATCATCATAATAAAGAAAACTACATTAAGTTTTTTTCTGGCTATATTTTTCCGATGTACCAATAATTTGCAGGACATCGACTGGAAGTTCATAATTATAGCAATTGCTGTCTACAATAGTTAGTCCTATACGAATAATTAAAATAGCATTAATTGTTTTAAAGTTCAATATATTTCGCAACTTAGTTTTAACAACATTCATTAAGCTGACGTTCGATGTCAGCATTTGAATGCAGTATGCAATACACTTTCTTTGTGTTGTAACTTGTAAGCTTAACTTAGTTGTGCTCTAAACAATTGACTGGAAACTGAATAAAGCAAACCAAATGCATTGTAGAAACCATGAACGAAAATTTTAATAAAGGGGATTTACCCGCTTATAGTCTAGTAGTCTAGTAAAAAAAAATTCAAGTTGATCATCCTAAAGGGGGTGCCGGGAGATCCATAGCACAGGGTATCCTAGTTTGGACTCCCGTCCCGTCTCCCACATATTTATGTACTCTTTGTTTTATTTATAAGAAAAACATATGTTTGTAAAAGATAAATTGCAATGTACTATTTGTGGGAGAAAATTATTATTATTATTATCGGTAATGTCTAACAGTACTGCCATGACATAAAGTATAAAAGTTTTCAAATGTGTGCTAAATACACTAAAAAATCGCTAGGTGCTAAAATTTTGAAATGCGCACTAATTACTCCAAAAAACACTAGATCTAGCGCCCAAAGCGCTAAAATGGCAGCACTGGCCCGCAGCACGCAGTGCACACCCATTTTATACAGTCGTGTGGCGGGAGAGCGAGCGCGTCACGTGATCTGACGTCATCGCGTCAGGTGTCGCGCCTGGCCTCTTGCGCCGATATGTATATATGGCCAAATGATAAAAAAAAAATGGAAAATGACAAAAAATTGACAAACGCAAAATAATTATTTAGAGATATGAATGCAAAGAATAACATTTTTATGAGAAATTAAAAATATAATCAATACAATGTTATATTCGTTGATGAAATAATGGCTAAACGCCAACTACGTTGTGCCGCAGACATGGACAGGTGACACGTGTCCGTGGAAAAAGGTGGGCGAAATTTTCTATTTTCTATTAATAGAAAAATATTTGAAAGAATTGTATACGCAAGTAGGTACATTAATTTTAAAATAATATAACTAGCGACCCGATCTGGCTATGCCTGGGTGGTATGCATTAATATGGTGTTATTAAGACTTAAAATAATCGTTAAAGACCATTTATTTTATCTTACCAATATTTCTATTTTAATAAAATGTCAAAATTTTTCGGATAAAATTTAGTTATTCGTGGTATTATTCTATATTTGTTCGTAAAGTTTTATTTCAATTGATTTAACCATTCCAAAGATTAGCTCGGACAGACAGACAAACGAAAATTAAAAAAAAATGGTTACTCATGTCTCAATAGCACCCAAATATTTTATACAAAAAAATGAAATAAACAAAATCAACAATAATTTAAAAAAAAGAAACTCAAAACGCGTCGTAGCTCACTAATTAGCGAAACCGGACTGAAATTTTTTTGTAGTTTATGGCACTTTGTTATCATTGATTTCAATGATAATTTGAACTGTTGAACTTAGGTCATAGGACGTACGGAAAACGTATTATCGCAACATAGTTTTTTTGCAGTCTTTACCAGCGGTTGTGAGTGTAGATAGCTACAGTGTTCGAGCGAGAGGTGAATAGAGGTCCCACCATTTTCAATCCCGTTTTTTAACCGCACGGGTAAAAAATCACACATATACAAGTGGTAAAATTAAAGTTTGTTTGTGACTTAAAAATAAATATAATATGTTGTTGATTTTTTATAAACCGCCTAACCGATTTCGATAAAATTTAAATGGGACCACCTGGAAAGTATACCCTTTAAAACTAAAAAAGAATTTTGCAAATCGGTTCAGGCGTCTTCAAGTAATCCTTCACGGATTCATAAAAAAATATTCCGACGAATTGTAAACCTCTCCTCTTTTTTGAAGTCGGTTGAAAGTTATTAACTATCATTTACACTTCAAAGTATTATATTTTATATGTTCAGTTATTACTCTTGTCGGTACAATGTCGTATTTTATGACAATTTGTTGTTCGATTATCGGAAATTGTACATGGAATACGGTACTTACTATATATTGAAAATATGTAATAGAATATTAACAACAATGGAGGGAGGGAACGTAACACCAAAACGCGGCGCTTTACTTACAGATAAACGAAGCCGACTGACAAAAAAAAATCACCACTTAAAAATATAATTTGGTGTTAAATTTTCGTTTTAAAATTTTGAGTAAATATTTATTATTATTCTTAGCACAATAATTTAATAATTAATAATTAATAAAATATGTATGAATATTTTTTGGTGTTTGGAATCAAATTTTTAATCACAATCGAGTATATCTTAATAAATGAAGCATTTTATGTTTTAATATAATTTATTATATCAAAGCCAGAGTACGATAATAAGATAGGCAGCACGCGTGGTACGTATTTCTTTATATTATTTTATGAACGTATGGTTGTTTGCTAGGCGTATAACAGCCGAACAAGCGCTGGCGCACGAGTATCTGGCGCAGTACGCGGACCCCACGGACGAGCCGATCTCCGTACCCTATGACCAAAGCTTCGAAGATATGGACCTGCCCGTCGACAAGTGGAAAGGTATCATATAAATTTATCCTATTCAAATTTATCTCGTGCTAAATATGCGAAGTAGGGTGCTATTTCTTATTTCTATTAGCAGACATTACACTAAATCATTTATTATGTTATGTAATTTATAAATCTTCTCTCTTTTTTACAGAACTTGTTTGGAAAGAAGTAGTGGAGTTTAAGCCTCACCCACAACACATGAGCACAGTTGTCGAAGTCAACGCGTCGTAATTTAGTCTTTATATTTGTATTTTGTTGCTTACGAAGTTTTAGTATATATCACTGTAAAAGTTTTCATCAGGCAATTATACATAGGTATATTAGTTCTTCAGTAGTATCTGTTAATTCTGTAGCCAGTATAAGGAAGACAGGTAAGTAGATAAAATATGTAAAGGTATATTTTTATGAGAACATATATAATAATACTGTATATGAAACGAAATCAACGAATTTTTGAAATGTAATAAGGTTTTTCTTAGAAATCTTAAAATATAGAGATTTATTTACAATGAAGTCAATTTGTAGAAAATGTTACAGGTAGCCAGTATTTTATTTGTTTAATTTTAATGCATACTTATTTATTTATGTATTTCTTACACATGGTACACGAACAGGTCAAATTGGAAAATCAGAGATTACGGTCCATAATGTACTTAATCAATTTTCTTTAAATGGAGGCGTAAAAATAACGATATAGCGAAATCGATCGCAGTGCACACTGTGGCAATAATATTGTAATTTTTCGGATATATATTGAAAGATTGTCTTTTAATAGCTTATATATCGAGTATCTATGGTTATTACCATTATTATTTTAAAAACTGTTCACAATACTTATTGTGTAGTAAATTGAAATAAGTCTATGAGACAATGGATGGTTATTATAGAAATAAAAGTAAATAACATACTGTAACCACAGTCGAACTACTACATACTGACAGTCGGTCATCGAATGCGTCTAGACGGGGCAATCTTGCGGTGCGGTGCGGGGCGAGACGCGGGCGGAGCATAAATTATAATGATTCACACTACATGTGCGGTAAAAAACTGTGGGTTTTCCTAATTTAAAAATAAGGAATTAGTTTCATCAGTTTCCACAAACACATTAATTTGTTTAAACGTGAAATAAAATAAAATCAGTTTTTTTATTTTTTATTACTTTCTGTTCTGACAACCCTAGCAATTTATTGTTTATGTCGGCTTTTCCGACAACATCAAACGCGATGACTGACTGTATCTTCTTCTTAGGCTGTGCTGTAACTGTATTGCAGTCCTGCTAAATGCGTTTTGTTTTTACAACTATTTATCGATAGCCTTTACTTGCGTAAGAGGACAGTTGTCATTAATGCCACTCTAAATATTTTTACGCGTTGTCATAACGAAACGTAGAAAATTAAGCGAATACGCGTAACAGCGGGTTTATACGGGCTTAGTATTTGTCATTAGTACTAATCGCTTAGGGCGGATTAGACAAAACTTAGTATAAATCTTATCCTAAGAATAAAATCACTAATTACTCTCCAGTTAGAGAACTGTCGTTTTACCAAATCTTAACCCAGGTATAACTGTCTATCCGAGAGTAAATTGCTATACCGCCAAAATTCATGGAGTAAACAAGTTATCCCAGAGCATTTTAATGGCGGCCGCTACATTTTAACAGCTGTTTTCGTATGCTTTGTTGAAAAAGTAGGATATTTTATCGTTGTGCATTTATAATTTCTTGTATTTTTGTGATAATTGTAGGGATTATTTTTTGAAATAATGCAACGTTTACGAAATATAGAAGATAAGAATAAGATTAGAACAATAATCAACTAACAACTCGAGCTCGACTCGTGATAATATGATAATATTCTAGTGTTCAGTGACAGTGACAGTTGACACTAATATAATCCGGCAAAACTATGTGGACAGAAAATCTTGCATTGCGCTATATAAACAATTGCATTTCGATTTTAGTTGGCTTACATGTTCATTCATTTTTCATTCACCAACTCTAGAGTAACAATACCCAGTATTAGCTACTCTACGTTTGTATTGGAAAAACGCAAACGAAGTTATCTGAGAGTAAGACCAAAGAGTAAAATTATTCGAGGGTTAGTTACTCTGGAGTAACATGGTATTTGGTCGAATGCGCCCTTAGTAGTACTAAGCTGCATAGTAACAAGTAAGGAGAAATCGTCTACACGTTAAAATTAGTAGAAAGGTATTAGTGACCAGACATTCGAAACAGAATGCCGCTGCCACCTGATTTTGCGTAGTGTGTTTAAACATTATTCTAACATAATTATATCAGCAGTGATAGATGACCTTGAAAGAGAAGCATTAACAGAAAAACGTTTGTGGACAAGACAGTGGTTGCTGCGCAGAGACAACCTTGGCAATTCTGCTCTTCTTTTAAGAAAGCTAGCAACCGAAGATCCAAGCGAATGCAGAATGTGTATGAGACTATCAACGGATCAATTTGAATTTTTATTAAAAAAAGTTCAAGGATTAGACACAAATATGAGTGTCGCAATACCAGCAAATATAAAATTGGAGGTTACTTTGTCATTTTTGGCAACAGGAAGTAGCTACCGCATGTTATCACATTTCTACAGAGTTTCTAAACCTGCGATTTCAAAATTCATCCCTGAAGTGTTGGTTTCAGTTTACCATCAACTTTACTTGTACCCACATAAAATATTTAATTATCGATTGTCTAGACCCCGAAGAATCGTCGAAAACGCTTTTGGCATCTTAGTTACAACAATACCAACAAATGTTACGTTTATTGATAAATTGTTCGTACATCATACTTTACATAACTGGCTTAGAAAAACTTCAAGTACATACCTAACTTGGGGGCGTGTTGACTGAAAATCAGGATACTGAAGAAATTATACAAGGATCATGGAGAAACGACAATTTAAATTTTCAGCAAACAGGTAGTAATCACTTCGACGGCTCCGTGGCGCAGTGGCTTAGCAATGAGTTGCTGCGTTGGGGGTCGCGGGTTCGAATCCCGTACGGAACAAGTATTTGTGTGGCCTATAAATAATTGTTCTGGGTCTGGATGTTTGTCCTTGTGCAATTTGTGTTTGTAAACTGCCTCCACGATACAGGAGAAAATCCTAGTGTGGGGGTAACGTTTTTAAATTAAGAAAAAAAAAATCACTCATCGAGAATGGCCCGACAATTAAGAGAAAGATATACGAGGTACTTTGTAACTAAAGGTGCAGTCTCGTGGCAATCTAGAATGATTCATTACTTTATGTAACCTTTCGTCTGCAATGCAAAGATACAGACTAAAACTCGATACAACAAACAAAATGAAATATCTACCGCATGTGCCGCGGAGCCATCGTGGCGTCTGTGCAGACGATCGTACTTATTTCGAAATAAATCTAGTATCGTGCATTATATATTTTATTACTTACATTTTCTATAATTGTGCGCCTTTCTTGTATGTCTTTCAACAAACAATCAATTTCTTTATACCATGGTATATTTGGCACGTAAATACAGTATCACTCCCACTTCCTGATCGTACTGAATTTTGTATCTTTTTCTTTTCGTGGTAATATGTTTACCGAAGTGTTCTCAATTTTTTTGACGTGACAACGTCTCTGGCTGCACGCACGAAAAACATGACTCATGCGGCGTTACCTCGCTCTGAGGCGTTCCATTTAAGGCTTGAAGTGCAAGCGAGAGCGCGGAACGAGCGACAAAGAGGCACAATCGGAGTTGTCACGTTCAACGTACACACGACAGACAACCCAACCAATATAAATAAATACAGACAACCAATTTTTATTTTTGCCTCGGGAATTCCGAAATCCGAAACCGATTTTTGGTTCTATAAACATTCGTAGGATTTAAATTCTTGGATGAATTTTATTGTTGTTTCGGAATTTTATCTTTCCGCCGCCATAATTACGAAAATATTTCGAAAATGTAACCTAAATACGTAAACAACGCACGTGTTTTCACTTGCCGGTGCAATTTACCACTAAGCACTTGTCGTGGCTGTTTAAATACGGTCAACAAGCAACAAGCAGTAGTAAATTGAGGTGGACGGATCGACTTGTCGCTAAGTAAATAAGACCGACTTCTATTCATTTGCACTGGCACAAACACTAATACTAAACACAAGTTCAGCGTGTTTACACATTGGGTATTAGTGTAAGTGACAAACACTAAGCATTAGTTACTAAGCCTGTATAAGCTCTGCAGTGATGACGTCATAGTTTCTAGTAGTCAAGCATGGTCATTTGTATATTTTTAAACAATGAAATAGTAACGATTAAAAAAACAACCTCACTTTTTGTACCTAAGAAAAGGGTGTGATTTTTGGAAATAAGATTAGACACTGTTTTATCTGTATTAGAATATTTTTGTCGTAGATTTAATTATCTGATTATAGAAATAAAACAACGGGTTTTTTTTTTCAAAGTATATTTTTGAACTTCATAAACTTGTTTGCATATTAGCATAGATTGCATACAATAATTCAGCAATGGCCTTCTTTTTATATTTTTTCTACATTTCTTATTCACAAAGTCTCGACTATTATGTTCCTGTAGTGGCGATGTAAGAATATTATTCACTACCGTAAATCGTCCGTGTCGTAAAAGGCTACAAAGGGAAATAAACCAAGAGATCAACAGCAGCGTCTTCTTAATCACAACTAAAAAATAAAACTTTATGGGGGAGGCCTATGTTCAGCGTTGAACTTTGATATATTGTATATTCTTTAAATTTTCAGCGTTGTTATAATTATTTTTCCTAAATAATCTTTTATTATTCCCCATAGGTTTTGGTCTTGATTCTTTGGGTTTCAGTCCCATCTTCAGCCACAAGTGGGTCAGATCGGGGGTATCGGGGTCAGAGTAAGAAACATTCTCTAGTTTAATAGAGACATTTTCTCTAGTTAATTTATTATATAAATGTTTTTATCGTAAAATAAGTTTGAAAGGAGATATTCTCAAAAAAAACAGTTTTAACATTTTTCCAACATGGCGACGCAAGCGGCAAAGATACGAGGTGGCAATGTAGAAAATTCAAAAGAGCACATCAAAATCAATAAAATCACCAATTTTTAAAACTCCCGGAAAACTTTCCAGGTAACCTCTTTTTTTCAGTAACAAATGACTCCTCATTAATGAGCATTAGTTATTGAACATTATATATACTATTTTGAGGTAAATTATAAATAGACCTTTAGTTTTAAGTGATTGCTAAGTTTTTTATTATAAAGTAACAATATTGTTAAAAAGAAATCATAAGTAGGTAAAACAAATGTAACTAAGAGGTAATGTGCTCGCTTTTCAATTTGATTACGCCTTTACAAGCTGTTGTTAAATAAAATATTTGGAAGCTAACTAAAACTTTGATCTTGCTGTCGATTATTTTTATTTATATAAAGAAGTCCGGTAGAATAGTGACGCTATTGATTTAGGGGCCTAAATCACAAAAATTAACGCATTAGCATTGATGCAGTTATATTATCATCTCTTGAAATAAATAACAGAACTCCCCCTAAATTGTTCGCACATTTGTGTGATGGAATAAGTTTCAAAAATATAAATAACCGTCCATTTTGATATTATATTATTTTGTTTGCTTTGTAATTTGAAGTGAAACTTCAATGTTTTTCTATTTTTACTGTGTGGACTTTGGTAATTTTTCTGCCTAATGTTACCGTAAATTTTTAATTTTTAAAGAATATTTTTAATAGGTAGGTAACACCATATTATCTTGTGTACCTAAATGTATAGTTTCATAGAAATAAGTTTTAAAAATAAAAAAATAAAAGTTGCTACTGCAATCCACATGTTTTATTCATTTCATAAGAGTAAGTGTGTAATACTTAATAAAGAAACTGCTTAGTGTTGGAATTTATGATACTCTTACCTATCAAACGTCCACTGATGAACACAGGCCTCCCCCGTAGATTGCCTCTTAGGGGGGATATTTGCCACGCTTGGCATTCGGATTGGCAACAACACAACATAAAACAAAACAGATATTTTGAATAAATAAATGCCTCAACCACTGACGGACGTATGTAGTACGTCGCCCAAACGGTTTTTCGTTTTAAATTCCAAATTGCTCAGGATTTCGAACGCGTCCTTTTTGGTAGTTTCCTATTAGCCAGTGACGCCCGCGTGGCAGTGGAGAGGGGTTGTGTGGTACGTGTGTAAATAGGTAAGTTTGATACCTTGACGTACGTATTGTCAGTGTTAGTGTGGCTTTTTTTAAATTATGTGTTTATGTTTGTCTTTAGATAAAATGAATCACACCGCTTTGGTGTAATTCTCTTTCCGGCGTATCTTCGTCTCGAAAAATACTATATATTGGAGGTAGTGCTACTAATAACGAAGAAATTATCGAATCTTGGCTGTGTGAATCTGATGAATCATCGGCGGATGAAAATGATGACATTTAGTCTTATCGCGATGATTCTTGAGAAGAGGAGTATTGCGATGATGGAGAGGCCGCTGGTGTAGCTTCGGACCCTGACTCTTCTGAAGATGACATGCCTTTGTCACGTATTTCTCGCTAAATTGATTCTGAAAAAAGGCAAATTGGCGTCCAGGTAAGCTATTCTGAAGTAAATACGGTTGCCGAGGGTAATGGATCACAATCTCACAGAAAGTACTACTACAAGAAAAATAGCTGCATGAATTGGTCTGCAGAAGGGCCATCAAGAATTACACGCACACCTGCGCACTACATCTTTACTCCAATAACTACAATTGATTTTTCTCCTGATAGTGTCCGCCTTCACAATTATTTAGTTTATAGAAAATACTAACCAAAAATTAGAATAGATAAGGCAAATATATAAACGATAAGGTAAACCTGAACTGAAGGACTTAGATTCTGTAGAGTTGGATGCTTTCATGGGGGTCTTGATTTTTAGTGCAGCATTCAAATCGAATGATGAAGACATAAATTCATTGTTTGCTACTGATGGAACAGGGAGAGATATTTTTACAGTAATAATGTTCAAAGATCGTTTTGCGTTGATTCTTGTAATTCTTTGGTTTGATGATGCATCAACCAGAGGTGAAAGAAAACAGTCTGATGTTGCTGTTCCTATCTCGAGCATATTTTATGAATTTGTCGCCAATTGCCAAAAGTATTATAAAATTGGAGACAATACCACTATCGACGAAATATTAGTGTCTTTTCGAGGCAGGTGCAGATGGAAGAAGTACATGCCTAGCAAACCCTGCAAGTGTGGGTTGGAAATAAAATGTCTGACTGATAGTACCACCGGTTACGTGTACAGTGCTTACCTCTATTCGAGAAAGTACAGTGACGACAACGGACAGAAAAAACTTAAGATATCTATGGGAACCAATCGAAACATCACTGTAGATAATTACTTTTCCTCGATTGAAGTACCTATGCAGAGAATTTAAATAAAATTGGGTGACATAATATGTAGGGACACTAAAAAAGAAGCAAAAAGACCGGGGAAGGGACCGCACTCTCACAGAATACCAGCGTAAAATAGCAGCTCAACACTGCTGTTTCGTATGATGAGAGCAGAGAACTGGAGACCCTTTTTACTGGAAAAGAGGCATTCCATCTTAGTCCTCACAGGTGACAGACAACGCATCTGCATTTTGATTCTTTATTGAGGATAAATATAGATGTCTATAGGTCGACCATCAGGTGGACTGTGTGCTCGTTTGTCATGCTATCCTATAAAAAAAAATGTCCGAGAAATGATTAGTCCGGACCGCATCCCAATATCCCTGGATACGGAACACAAATACTTTTTATGACAGAATTTATATTTGCCGCCGGCATGTTTTCATTGTTTAGTTTTTTCCATAAAAATCAACATGACGTGCGTAATCTAGAAACTTCATACGCTGTCATATTGAAAATATATGATGTGGATCACGTCCACGTAGCAATTGTTGCATAGTTATTACGAGGCTTAAGCCTAAGCCACAGTACTTGTTGGCGGGAATTTCTACTTCCAAAGAAAAATGTTTCTGAAGATATAGGTTTCTTCACCGTTCACGAAATGAAACTTTATCAGCCTTTCAGCTAACAGGCAAGCCTTTTAACTAAATAGCGCCCTGAATGATATACAGCCGATGCGTCTATAAGGGCGCGTTTCCGCCTGCAAGAAAAACTTCTGCAAGTGTCCGACAGTTTGTCAAGCGTTTCCTGCGAGTAGTTGCGAGTGCAGTTAATTACAAGTCTAAATATGTTAACATCGACTCGCGACCGATCTTGCTGCTTATCGGTCTAGTTTTTTTATATCTCGCAAGTATACTCGTTTTAAATAGGAATTCAGAGTAATTCATTATTGATGAGCATTTCTGCCTTTATAGAATGCGTTTTTTTATAGGATAAGGTGACAAACGAGCACACAGTCCACCTGATGGTAAGTGGTTGCTATGACCCATAGACATCTAAATTAAAATGCAGATGCGTTGTCACCCGTGAAGACTAAGATGGAATGCCTCATTTCCAGTAAAAAGGATCTCCGGTTCTCTACACTCACCATACGAAACACAGCAGCGTCAAGCTGCTATTTGACGCTGGTATTCTGTGAGAGCGTGGTCCTTCCCCGGTCGAGCCGACTCATTCGTGCTACAACTATACTACTGATATAGCTGCAGCATGGCTCTACCACGTACACATGTATTAACTATATCCCATATTACGGGCCGATTATTTCGCGATCCATATCGATGTTCATGTTCGCAATAAAAGAAAAGTAGGTGTTTTTTTAAAGATTAAATATTAAGTTTTATTATTTTAAGTAAATAAATTTAAAAAAAACCGCGTTTCCACCCGCAACAATACTCTACTGCCGCCATAACCTTTGCGACATCTATGGCTCTTGTGTGTAAATACTTCGCGATAAGTTGCGATAATATGAATCGCAAGCTTCTGTAGAAAAAAATTCGCCGCGAATTCTTGCCGGTGGAAACGGGGCCTAATACAATCAGCCGCACCTTAGGCCGGCTACATACGTACGGAATTCCCTAAATACATCACACATAAGTCCGTTTATTTCCGTTCGGAATAACAAGACTCAGTTGAGACGCTAGTCATTGAGCCAAACATTCTGCCAGCGAATAATGACGATGTTTTTCTGATTGCGATGTAATTGTTGCTGTATCATTGTTACTGGGCGAATCCCCTTAACACCCTAAGATTGCAATTTAGTCAATATTATGTAAAAAGATCTATCTATACAGAGATTTTTTGTAAATATGGATGTCTATAAATTTTTTCGAGGAATTGTTAAACAAAATGAGATAAAATGAAATTCGTATTTATGTGGCCGGTTTTAACCTACTGTCGCTGATATTAGTAGTCAGGCGCAATGTTGTACTTGAACGCATCTACTGTATATCATGTAGATCGCTAGTTGAAGGCTGTTAACCGATTCAGTGCGGATGGCGTGCCATCGATTATTTTTCTGTGTGGCGTATTTTTTTTTTATATAGGAGACGGCTCACCTGATGGTAAGTGACTACCGTCGCCCATAAACAACTGCAACACCAGGCGAATTGCAGATGCATTGCCGGCCTTTTAAAAAGAAGTAGGCTCTTTTCTTGAAGGTTCCTAAGTCGTATCGGTCCGGAAAAATCGCTGGTGGTAATCGATTCCACAAGGAAGTTGTGCGTGGAAGAAAACATATTCTAAATCGCACAGTGGTGGACCGCCAATCATCCAGAAGGTGTGGATGGTATCAGGAGTTCTGCCCCGATGTGCGTTCGTGAAATTTGGCGGCTGAGATTAATCCGAAAAATTCCTCAGAGCACTCCCCGTGATAAATGCGAAAGAAAATGCAAAGGGATGCAACATCTCTTCGCAGCGCCAGTGAATCGAGCTGATCGGAAAGGACTCGGTCGTCGACGATTCGAGCCGCTCTGCGCTGGATCATTTTGCCTTTGTGATTTTTAAAAAGCGCGTCATACGCGAGTCTTGTCTTTTTAAAAATCGTTATAACTCGCTACAGCTTCGTTTCTGGATATTTTGAGAATTTGAAATTTTTAGGGGTTGACAATCTTTTTTAACTTGTTCATGGTACTCTTTTTACTGTGTGGGTTTTTTAAATCATATTGTTGAAAAATACTCTAATAAGTAACAAATAATAGCATTCATTGCGATCGCTCACTAACTCAAGTCGTAAACAAGTTTCTGGAAAACAAGTCTCCTGTTAAAAAAAAAAACAATTCATTGTCTTATTGATTATAGTTCGGCCGTTCAGAGAATGCGTTCCTGACACCTATCAGTTAGTCACGACTAGTGATGTTGTGCCCAACATAACATTGAGTTCGTTACCGTTCCTCCAAAATGAACCGCCGCGTTATTTTTAAGATTATTTTCGTTTGAAATTGGCGGAATAATTTAAATTTAAAAAAAAAATTATATTTTAGTAATTTAAGTGGAATGCAAAAAAAGGTAATATTAATATAATAAAATTGTTTTATTTATTCTTTGTTACAAAGTTACAATCTGTATTTCTATGCAATAAAGTACATTGAATTGAATGTGCGTACAGAATATTAATCAGACTCCGATTCGCTTGAGGAGGTGGGGTCTTCACCATCATCTTCGCCTACATATATAATTATATTATTATCAATAACAGAATCAATCCTGATATCTCGGTCAAAATGGTTTTTAGTCATCTCAACAACCTTTGCCCAGTCATCTCTTGCGACTTCCCCGCAGGCTTCTTTTAATAGGGTCATCATCTTTTGCGTGTTGAATGGCGGGGAAGTATTGTGGCGGGCGGCGTAACCTTTTATTTGAGCCCAGATTAGCTCAATCGCGT